AAAAGTCTGACAGCCCTTGCTCTAAATTGTTAGGGAAAAAAAAAAGCAACTTTTACTATTGTCTTAAAAAAAATACGGTGAAGAAAATAATAAACAGCATATAAACTCCATGATTTACAACAGTATCCTATTTTTGTCTCATTTCTATGACAATTCTTCTAATTAACTCTTTGACTCAAACTCATTCCTGTCCCCAGTCTGCCCTTACCACAGGTATGTAGCTAGCTCTTTTTTAGTACTTCTGATATATCTGACAATAATAAATCTCCCTTCCAACCTGGTCTGATCCAAATGAAGATGTAAATGGTTTCAGAGGGAGAAAAACTGAGTAACTAGGACGGATAAAGGTACATGCTTGGGGATGGAGGAGGGTTAATAATTGAGAGTATTGTAAAGAATGGATGGCAATGTGATTAAAACAACTATGTAGATATTTTAGGAGGAAGTGAAAAAATTAAAAAGAAGCAAATAAAGTAAAAAAATTATTTGAAAATACCAAAAATGAGCACATTTAAAAAGCACAAAATCCGTTAGCATCATTCCTTTAAGAAAGCCTTCTATTTACCTATCCAAACAGGCAAAGAGTCCAGATTTTCCTCCTACTGCACAAAGTACTTTGGGCGCACAGCGAGGTCGTGTTATCAAGATTGTCTGATGAGAGAGTCTGTGTTCAGGCATAAAGTGGTACTTTAGGGCCTCATTCAAAAGATGTTTACAAGTGTGATCATCACGAATAAGATGATTTGCTTCATACAGCCTTGTGAGAAACTTAACACTCAGCAATGGTAACCGTACACTGTTTAGTAGCTGTGCTAAGTATTTCTGGCGTTCTTGTACATCATACTTGATCCAAGACTCCAATGCATAAAAAACAGTCTCTTCAGTAGCCACATTCAAACAGTCATTGGAAACAATTTCATCCAAATCAGAGTGCGGAAGCTCAAAAAACTCTTCTGTCTGACAAACAGCTTCAAAATTTTGGCATATGTATTTAGTGGCTGCTAAATAAAGGTCGTGACAACCATACGTCTCTGCAAAACGAGAAATTCCAATACAATTACCAGGATCGAGCTGGCTTTCAAGAAACGCACAACATTCTTTCAGGACAAGCTTTATTTGGAGTAGGTTTGCAGCTGGAAGAAGAGATTCAACTGTGTCCTGAGAAATAAAAACAGTCCCTGTATAGGCATACTCCACAATGGCCTGGAGGGCAGTTTCATCAATGCACTGAAATTCAACCTCACTGTTCTCTTTTTCTGAAAGATTTCCGGTGAACATTGCTTTGAAATATGGGCTGATGCTGGCAAGTACCACTTTGTGAGCATGAATTTTAACATCACCTACACGAAGAACGATGTCACAGAGTTCGTGATGCTGACGAAGAAGATTCAAGCCCTGCAGAAGTTGTTCAGAATGTAAGTGGGTTAAGTTAGCAAGCATGTAGGTTGGGGATGTGTGGTCCATCTACAGAAAAACAAAAAGTGTGGACAGTTATTTCCAAATAATCATGCCAATATAACTGTGCTTCAAATAATACCACATAACTCAAATTTCTTGCTTATTTGCCTGTTTCTTGGTTTTTAAGCACTAGCTACTAGAAAAAGGACTTTCAGAGTTAGAAAGAATTTAACAATCATGTAATTAAACTCCTTTGTTACAGCTATTAGGAGATGCAGTCCCAAAATGTTACATAATATTCCCCAGGTCATAAAGCTCTTTGGATAATGGACCTCTGGATCAAAACTGCCAAATCTTTCCATTCCCCTTCATTAAATTCAAATCTGATAAAGAGAAGGGAATCAAAAAGTAGAGGGAGGTAGAAGGTGGGGAAGGGGACCTAAAAAGAATTAAGATGTGTTATGTTCATGTAGCAAATCCCCATGATGAATGTAATCACTATATACCACTAATATGTACTAGTAAAATTAAAAATAAACTCAAGTTTGAGCTATCACTGAAAATGGAAATATGGGGGGGGACTTGCTAAGGCAAAATTCATTTTGAAACAACACTAGCTAGTTGTTTATCAATGATAAGACCAGTGCCTTTGGTTGGAAAAAAATTTCATGTTAATTCAAATCCTTTACCTTAACTTTCAATAATTTAACAAAGTCATCAGTGCTGTCAATTAATTCTACAACAACAAATTATTGAGAGCAGAATCCAGTGTTCTACAGTGAGGACAGTAAGACTCACTTACCGATCTATACCATAGCAACTCAACCCCTCATCATAAACTCAGATTAAACACACTCAGTCTACTTATATATCTAGAAGATGAAAAAGAATAAAATAAGGAAAAAGAAAAACTGGAGAGGGCCAGGGATTTAGCTCAGTGGTTCTGGCACCTGCCTTGCAAGCGCAAGGTCCTGAGTTCGATCCCCAGTACCAAAAAAAAAAGAAAAGAAAAACTGGAGAAACAGTAAGTACTGTGGCAGGCAGAAAATGGCTCTCCAAAAGACGTTCCCATCGTAACCTCTGGAATATGTGAATGTTACTTTATATGGCAAAAAAGGACTTTGCAGATGTGGATAGAGGATTTGACATGGGGAGGTTAAACTGGATTACCCAGGCGGACCCTAAATGCAATCAGCGTGCCTTATGGGAAGGTAGAGGCAGACCTGACACAGGCAAAGTGAGTAAAGCCCTATAGAGTAACTACAGAAGCAGAGACTGGAGGGCTGCAGCCATACACTAAGGCACACTGGCAACCACCAGGTAGAAGAGGATGTCTACCAATGTGTACTAATTTCAGACTTCTGGCCTCTAGAACTGTGAAAGAATACATTTCTGCTGTTTTAAGCAACTGAGTTTGTGATAATCTGTTACAGCAGCCGTAAGAATTTACTACATGGATACTTCAAACTGATCCTAGCAATTGCCTAGAACAAAGGGAGCAGAAGACACCTATATAACACGACCTATTTCCTCCCTCTCTCACTCACAACTCAAATACAAGTTATGGAGATACCAGTAAAGTAGCTTTCATTCCTATCTTAAAAGCATTACCAAATTAAAAGGTTTTGAACACTATTAAAGAATATAAGTACTGGGTGGACTGGGAAAATATAGCATTTCATTTCTGGTTTTTAAATTTGAAAATCCAAACACTGAAATCTTTATCTTCACCAAAAACTTCCACTACTTCACATTTGTCTCACAGTGAATTTTAAGTTGTTAACAATTTACACTAATATTGCCTCCTTACAGCTGATAACCATCCTCCACATTTGATCTCTCCAAATAATCCTAACACATCTACCATAAAAATTCTCAGTATCATTTCAATCATGGAGTGAACAAGTCTAAAGAAATTTCTTGGTCTTCCAATAGCAACTTTCTTTCTATTTAAAATAGAATACTATTGAGAAGCCAGTAATCAGAAGGTGTTACATTTAGACATGGATATGTTCTGTTTCTATGGTACTGACCTTTAGAAATTTCCTTTTGCTTCAATTTTTATAAGAAAGTTAGTATCTAGAATGAAAAATGAAGAGTGAATAACAAGAAAGGCAAGATGTTATAGAAAACAGGTGACAGAGTTAATAATACAGTCCTATTTTATATCTAGTTAACTCTACCATCTCTCATCTTCATCTTCCTTATTTGCAAAATGGGAATCACAATAGTGGCCAAAACATACACCTCACAAAGCTTTTGAGGATCAAATCAGATAATTTAAACAGGCCAAACTGTAAGTTTCAAGTGTACAGTATTACATAAGGCAATTAGAAATAGAAGATAATTTTAGTCCCAACTGGGTCAAATATTTTTAGATGAAATCGGTACATTTCTTAATCAAAGTATTGATTTTTTTCATCCATAAATAAAAACCAGCTATCTTCCAAATGTTTTCTTAGCACATGCTACATTGTCTATAGCCTTTCTCTTCCCTCATCTCCCTTTCTCCAATTCACATTCTCAAAATTTGTCAAAATTAACTTTACCTGTGTTATTTTGCAAAACATACCCCTTTTGTCTCTCATTTTTCTAATTTAACAAGAATTATATTCAGACTGGAAAGCGAAGAATTAACAAAGGGAAAGGTAAATGGATATGAAAAATAAGAGGGAGGATTGAAAATGAAGACATAGATATTTGTAAGTTCATATCTCTCTCAGACAACATCTGTGTTCCAAGATATTCAAAAGAACATGCAAATGAAATCCCTGAATCATCACCAGTGCTACAAAACTGGAGACTATTTTCAAAAGTAAGTCAGTAAATCCTATAATTGAGGATGCAAAGATGTCTAATCCTAGTATACATGAGCTAATAATAGGACATGTCACAGACTAACCTTGCTTTTGTTTTTCAATGTGTTGAGCTTGTATATCAAGAAAATAGACTTGCAATTTAACTACGTTAGTAAAGAACTTATAATCTGCCTTTCATGATTTTCTTGAAAACAAAACTAAAAAAAATAACCTAATTCAGTTAGCTAAATTAGCAACTGATTGAACAACCACACCCAGCATGTACTACTTAATGGAATGAGGACTGGAGGGATGTGACTAGGGGTGTGCTAGAAAGGCCGAGATGAAAAGACTCAAAGTACAGCTTTGGAGATACTGTGAAGCTGCAGAGCCAGTACAAACACTGAATAACAAAATGAGGATCCAAAAAGACCTGAAGAAATTTCAGAGGCATAAATGTTGCCATTCCATAGTAGATTCCAAAGCAACTACACGTTTTAAATGAAAAATGACTCATCTGTAGGACATTTTTAAAGGGTTTAGTGATTTTAATTTTAGTACTACTTTAATAAACAAAGCCTATGTGGGCTTAAGCTGCATTAATGGAACTGTAATACACAGGAAATTAGGGACATTTTTGTTTTTCTGCAAATGTGAGCCTACATGTGGGGCACAGATTTTTAGGTTACCATCCTTTAAAAGGAATCTAAACGAATGGTGACACCTTCTGAAGAGAAGAAATTCAAATCACATCTTACTTGGGTAATGGAACCGAGAGTGCTAAGTGGAAAAATAGATCTGAGGGTGATCCCGTGAAAAACCAAGGGATAAAAGTTACTTGTAACATTTTTTTTCTTTTTTGGTTTTTTTTGAGACAAAGCCTCATTATGTAGATCAGGCTGATTTTGAACTCACTTTGTAGCCCAGGCGATCCTCCTGCCTCAGCCTCCTGAGTGCTAGGATCACAGGTGTGCACCACCACTCCCAGCTACAACATTTTTTTTTAACCACGGCAACTAGTAAGTGAAGTAGTCTATTCATTTGAAGCATCACAGTTTATTTTCCTCCAAAATAATAAAAAACTATCAAAAATTTAAAAATAAGTCAACAGGGCCGGGGATTTATCTCAGTGGTGCCGCCACCTGCCTCGCAAGCGGAAGGAAGGTCCCAAGTTCGATCCCTGGTACCAAAAAAAAAAAAAAAAAAGTCAACGTAAGGGCCCTGCTAAAGATTAACTACAAAAGAACATCTAAGCATACACATCATCATACTGAAACCAAAAGATATAATGTTCATCCCTTTTAAGAACTGAGGAATAAAGTTTAAGACTTTTAAGGCACAATCAAAACAATTCCAACTAAAAACTTTAAAGACCAAGGTTAAAAATAAGCAACTTAAATTTCAGTAGGCTTGCATTATAGCATTCTTATAAATGATAAGACCCTTTTTCTGCTCTCAAGAAATATGAATTAGAAACTCAAAACCTTTAACTTTTTCAGATACAGAGCTCTAGAACGGTGGTCCTCAAAATACGGTCCTTGTACCCAGCAGCTTTAGCATCACTTGGGGACCTGCTAAAAATACAAATTCTTGAGCACTACACAGATGTAAAGAATCAGAGTACACTAGTGGAGCAGAAGACTGGACAAACTCTGCTGTTCTCCTTCACCCTGGGGGGATGAAAACTCCCCAGGTGATTGTTATGCATGCTAACAGTTGGAAACCAGTTAAACTATTTCTAACATAAGTGCTGAAATATTATTGCCAATTATAGTTGTCATTCATTCAAAATGATGAATTACAACTGTGACTAGGTTGGGTTTTGACTAAGTTACTCAAAGAAGCAACATTTCTGATCTTCAGAAATGATCAGTTTTACATGGACAAGTTTCAGAAGGAAGGGTAAATAACAGAAAGAACAAGAAAAAACAATGAATAAAAGTCTAAATTTCAGAGTCAGAGACATTTAGGCTCAAATCTACCTTTGGTACTTAACAGCTGTACAACACTGGGCAAATTATTTCTTCTATACTTGAACTTTGTGAGATTTATGGTGGATTAAACAGAACTACATGAGAATGTATATAGGGGAAAAAATAGGTTAATGGCATAGAACAGAAAATAAAGAAATAGATCATTTATATATGTATATTTGCTATATGATAAAGGCAGCATCTCAAAATCTGTGGGGAGTAGAGGAATTTTTAAGTAAATATGTCATGGGGAGTATAGCTCAGCAATAGAGCATGTGCTTAAGTAAATGTGTCA